CAAGGTTGAGAAATGAAATCACACCATGCCATTGTCGTAAAATTTCCACATTTTTTGCTTTTGATGCTTCCATTGCTCCATTCATCTAGAACTGACAAAAAAAAAAACTATAGAAAAAATGAGATTACCGATCGAGTTTCGTAGAGCCTGAATTTCTGCATGCAGTCAGGGGGTGAAGATTGAGATGAGACCTCATTGTTGCTATTATTACCATTCTCTGGCGTTGAAGATGCCATGCGTAACACACTGTCTGTCTCTCTTCAATTTTCCGTCTCTATCGATCTGAATCCTTCTAACTCCCTACAAACCAGATCTCCCCGAGCCCCAGGCTCAGGGAATTACAGCAAGCGCATGCACCGACTCCGAAATTCCTCAAAATTCAAACAAAAACCACAAGTTGTCTGCAATTATCTTACTAGCGCCACAAGAACACAATCAAATCCCTTGCAGATAATGGAGCCCGGCTGCTTCAAATACAACATTCTCAGTCACCAGAATCCCGCGAAACAAACAGAAAAAATCGAAACACAGCTTTGAACTTCACAATGCAAACATACAAACAAACACGAAGCTCCACAAACAACTCCGATCTTCTTCAACAAACACACCAAATGGAAGAGATCCAATAAATTTCAGAAGCAAATTCCTCGGTTTTTATGACGAAATTATGCGTTTGGTTGACTGAAAAAAAATAAAAATCAAAAGAAAGATTTGGAAGGAATTTTTTTAAAAAAGAAAGGAAATTGGGAGGTTCGAGAAAATGGATTTCGTATAATTTGGAGATGTTATTGTTAATGGTTTTGTTAGAGTTTGTCTGTTCGTTTTCTTCTTTTTTTTGGTTTTTTATATTTTGTTGATGATGATGTTGTTTTTTCTAGATTGAAGTTCAGATCTAAAGAAGAAGAAATGAATACCACAACTTCGCTCACCTCTACAGCCACATATTATATTTTTTATTTTCTTTTATTTTATTCAGTAATTATTGGCTTCTTTTTTTTTTGGGTTTTTTTTACCTTAATGTCACTACCACAAAATTAAATTAACTATACGTAATTACTTATATCAGCAATAATTTTTGAAATGATTTTTTCCGCTGACCTTTGTGTAAAATAAATGTGGAAAAAAAAATTTCACAAGACCCTTTACGTCATAGGTATAGGCAATTGAGCTTTTATAGTTCTTTCTTTTGGAAAAGAAGTCCCTCAACTTGTCACATTGCAAAGTTGTACATGTAATAAACAACAGCAGCCACCAGTTATGAGTGGTTGATAAACTTTAAATTTAGTTATTATGCTTAAATTGATATTTTTTTTTTTTGTACAAAGAAGTTCTAAAAGAAACTCAAACGAAATACAAGTACAATAAATATAATATTTAATTATTTATATAATTATATATCTTATATAGTAATTTTTTTATTATTTATATAAATTATCCATTCTGATCATATACAAGTTAAAAATCATCACCTCTAAAATCATTTTCTCTAAGTTTCTTTGTCAATAATGTGCCACTTGAGCATATAGCAAAGGTGGTGTTTTAACAGTCACATATACGCGATTGGTCGATCACTGTTACTTACTTTGGGTTGATTTCTACAAGTTCAAAAGTTGAGGGGTTTATCAGATAAAAAAGATAATAAGGAGCTCAATTGCTAATAGTCAAAAAGTAGAGGTTTTCAAATAATTCCTTTGTTGTTGCATACAGAACAGACTATTCAGATCTTTTTCTTCTTTTGTGTGGTGAAGTATTATTTATTCATTTAATTATTTTTCTGATAAAATTTCTTCATTTAATTTTCTTACTTATCAACTATCCACAATAATTTCTTTCTTAATTAGTTTTTGATTTCCTCCATTTTTTATATTTAGCATCATGCGATTCTCGTTCTATTTCGGTCTGACATTTTTATCATGACCAAAAAAATTTATTTTACAAATTATTCATCAAATCTAATCAAACCTTAGCTGGAGACATCTCTTTTCAACGATTTCTCCAATTCTCGTCCAATCTCACTTTCAAAATGTTTACATTTTTCTATGCTGGATTAATTGTAACCATCAATTTATGAAATACTATTAATTCTAAAAAGTCTATAAAAAGCGTATCTTTATTTTTTGCATTTTAGAAATCAATTTTTTTGTTATTATGACATAGTTTTTGGCACCTAACAAACTCTACTCAAAATTTTTTTTAAACGGATCTCTTTAATTTTCGGTGAAATTTAGTCATTAAACCAAGATTATAAGTTTTAATGTTAAAATATGTACCCAAAAAAATAAAATACTTGAAATAGTAGACCATGAAGATTATAATTGATTACAATGTTAGATAATGTTTCCTACCCAAAAATATGAAAAGAAAAATTTGCAATGTTAGATAATGCTGCCTACGCAAAAATATGAAAAGAAAAATTTGCAGACGTCATAATAGATTATATTATATGTACTCGATTATATTCTAATATAACTATTTTAAAGAAAATATAGTCACATATTTTTGTTTTGATTTTTATGTCAAGATTGTTACTTTTTTAAGAAAAACTATATTAACAAAGACTTATAGTTTTTTGATAAAAACAATTTGAAAAAGAAAATTACCAAGCAATCCCTGATAATTTTTAGACTTACCAACAAAAAAAAAATGTCAAATTTCTCATGTGATAAATAATGAGAATTTCTAACAAGTGCTTGACATTAAATCTAAAATCCACCATATTTTTTAGTTTTATAGTTGAAGAAACTATTGACACAATATCATGTTGTACTTAAAAATGTACATTGTATTTATAGAAGCTACTTATCTAATGCAGTCTACGAATTAGATGACTTTGTACAAATTTTCTCTGAATAGAAATAAAAAGTTTGCAACTTCAAATCGTAAGTACCATTATAGCAGGGTAGAAGAATAGAAAACAATTGTATTTTATTATGCAATTTGACGTTGAAAAAGGATCTTTTTTGAAAAACAAGTTAATTAATGCAGTATCAACCAATCCGCCTGATTTGTGGTGCTGGTTGGAACTGAAAGCAACCACCGCCAGAAAGCATGTGACTCTGGCAGATAGATCAATCAGGCGTTGTTTACTTTTACTTTTAAACAGAAACTGAAAGTAGCTATCTTGTTTCAGCAAAAAAAAAAAATAAATAAATAAATAATATATAATAATAAATGAAAATAAAAATAAAAATAAAAAACAGAAACCGAGAGTTGCTTCTTACTCCCTCAGTAAGCAATATATTCGTATCACAAAATCACAATATTAATTACACAGAAATTTTTGGCAATCCGTCTTAAAAATAAAAAATAAATATCAATTTTGATTAAAAAAATTTTAAATATCATTGATAAAGGAAAGGTGGATGAACATTTATGAATGACAATTTAATCTTTTAATATTTAAAACTGATGTTTTTCTTTTACAAAAAGGCAGACCGTGAATCAACAATCTTTAATTTATATCACCATACAATGTGGCTAAAACAGTTGGTGACATAAGCCAAGCTGCAATTTGCAGGATTTAGGTCATGTAGAAGCATACCAAGCAATATCTTTAATTCACACGAATCAAATGCATTGTTTTAAGTCAACTAATTCAATATTTTAGTAATAATATTTTTTAATAAAAATAAAAAATTTTAAATTTAAATTTCATGATATAGAAGTAAAATAAAATTAAAAAAATATTTTTTATTATACAATTTAAAATTAAAAAAAAATTTATCTTGATCTCCACTGAACATGACATTCCCATAAAAATAATAACAATAATAATAATAATTTTGGATTACTTTATACTCCCATTAAAAAAGATTTATCTTTTAATTTTTTTTTTTTGGCTAATAATAAGAAACAAAAAAGAACTGAAATGTCTACTCCCTGCTTGTACCGGAATAGGACCCGTGAGGCCTGTCGCTGTTGGATTACTGTAAGCTTGAAGTGTATGCCATTCAAACGCCTGGCAAAGCTCCGGCATATACCATCACGGATTATATACCAATGTGGTCAATTATTGGCCCTATTTAATCAATTATTGAAGTATATTGTCTTAAGAGACGTTTTATCATTTAAGAGATGATATGGTTTAGTTTGCAGAAGCTAGGGATGATTTTGCTATGGAATTTTTACCTTTAAGTGAATTAAAAAGGTAAATTGAATATGAAGCGTAAAAAATTAGTCCATTTTATTACCTTACTGAAATCTACATGTTTGTGAGTGGTTACCTTAACTTCCTAGATCCTAGTTCCCTACTCCTTAATTTCGTTTCTCATACAATACATCATTAATTCATTATGTTATTGATAAATTTTAATAATGAAAAATAAAATATTTAACTTAGTTCAATCAACCACCAAAGATGATGACTCGTGTTCATAAACTAAAATTTTAGAGTCTATATGATTTTTTTATATATATATTTACTATTAAAGTGTTTTTAAATTATTTTTTATTTAACTTAAAATTAATTTTTTATTAAATAATTTTAACAACATGCTACTTATATCAACTTAATGTATTAATAAACTAATTTTCTTAAATATGGTTTAAAAACTTAAGCCTATACTTTACCTATCGTGATTGTATTATTTGACTTGTTAAATAACCATTAGACTAGATGTTGTAGACAAAATATGGAAATATTTTGTTGGAAAGATAAACCAAGATTCTAATATTTTAATTACATAAATTAAAATTTGTTTTAGATCTTAATTATTCTTGTCTTTATTTTATCAAATATTTCATTAATTGCCTAAAAAAATACTCTCCATTTCCATTAGGCGGCGAACATGCTTATGTAGTAGTATTTATTTTCGTAATACATATAGGAATATGTATGGAATCTGTAGGTATATACGTATCTGTATTTATTATTTGAGCGGGAGTTTCTTGTGGGTGCAGTTAGAAGATTCTTACTTCTGGGGCATCAACGATATCGGCGATAATGGTGTTCTTCTTTTCCTGGTTGAAGAAGAGCTCTTCCAGATTGTACGGCCCGACGGTAGACGGCGGTCCATTCCACAGCTCCTCGGCGCATTGCTCGTAGATTCCCTCCGTCAGATGGAAAGAATCCCACCACACATGATCCTCGGCGTTGTCGCATAGCTGGTAATCTTTCACCTTCTTAGTCCCTCCGCAGGTGTAAACTCCTCCGTACGGTCCAGTTCCACAACAAGCATTCACTCCATCCTTGAAGCCTGAGACAACAACCAAAAATGAGAGAAGGGTGAATTGATGAGTATGAAAGTTTTGAGACCTACTTGATGATTACCGTATTTTGAGGGGTTGTTTATTCTATCTTCAAGCCATTCATAGAAATTGGAATTGGAATATTTGAAGCCTTTTAGAATGTATTCAAGGCAGGTCAGGACAACTCTTAAGGCCTTTTTATGTGCTCGTGCAAGGCCGCAACCCTCTTCCAAGCAACCCTCGTCGGGGTTCAGTGAGCGGAGGGCCGGCAAACAACCCAACGGTGCCAAGCTTAGGAAACCAAACTTCCTTGCACCTTTTTCATACAGGACCTGCAGGTTTTAGTAGTAAAAGAGGGTCATCTCTCAGCTTTATAGCACCACAAAGGTTGATGTCAGTTATCAAGATTCGAGGGTTTAACTGAGTTAGTATTAATTAATTTCTCAAAATTGGACGTCCAGTTCAGAAGTACACTTCTTGAAATTGAAACTAGAAATTAAATAATGCTACACATTAAGCTGCATCACTTGTATAGAAGTTTCAGGCATACTTAATTTATTGAGATGTAAAGATATTACCTGGATTGTTTGTGTCAAGTTACCAATGACCATGGAGACATAAGTTGCAGGGAGATAGAGTTCCTGCATTCTTGGATTTCCCAGATAACCACCCATATAATCGTTGCTTAATTCCTAAGCTGATGAAATAAACTGCTTCAGATATCAGCTCCTTCGCTCTTATTTCGCCCAACTTTTCCACTAATGTTTTTTGAACCGCCTCATAATTCTTCAGTTGTGTCGGAAGATCAATCACCTATTAATTAGTAATAACAAAATTAACTTATTTTTTAGTATTTGAAAGACCAATTTGAGACTATTTGAAAACATTGCATCCAGCTCTTAGATTTGAAACTTTAAATCAAAAGTTCAAACTTTAAAATGGACGAAGAGAAATTAAGAGAAAATGAAAACTATCTTTTATTATTTGGACAATAATACATACACTCTCCAAAGTCACACCCTCCATTACACATTGACGGATTCTATTAATGTACCATTAAAATTTACAAAAATTGTTAATTTTAACGGTAAAAATAATAAAAACCATTAATTTTAACAATATAAATAACAAAAACTGTTAATTTTAACGGGACACTAACGAAAATCGTCAATTTATAACAGAGAGTATAATTTTTGGAGGGTGTATGTATAATTTTTTAATTTAATATATGATATACTAAAAAAATATATTATACCACATTTCAAATCTATAGAGAAATTGAGACAGAGGAAGGTTTATCCTATGTTTAGCTAGCATATTATTAGATATACCAATTTTTTTTCTTTTTAAAAGAAATAGACTGTACAGATCCTTACCGTTCCCTTATTTGTTTCAGGCAGAATTCCAGCCCCACCAGAGGCAAAATTAGCACCATTAGTAAAATCAGCAGAAGCTTCTAAAAACGGTGGGATCAACGGTAACTTTGCATACTCCGCTGCACACCCAGCAACCAATTAGTTCCACATACCATGGAAATTACAACGTTTTTAGACACGAAGTCGTACTACATAACATATATGCTAGAAGGACGAACATGCATGTTCTTTTTGTCTTTGAAATTATGTTATTGCAAAACATGGAAGGAGATTATATATGTGTTTATGTTAATATACCGATTAAATCGACGATGACGCGACCATCTGAAAACCTGCCGGTGGGCTCTCCGAAGAAGCGCTGTCCATATGGTTTGTAATTTGCACTGTTTTCAGCGATGGTATTGGTGTAATTATTGTTGCCGGTATCGACTGTGGAGTCTCCGAAGATGAAGAAAGCGGTGATCTCCTCCGATGAAGCACCGAATTTGCAGGAATTAATCAAAAGCATTAGCATTAGACAAGTACTGAGGAGGGTCTTGTGAGAAATTAGCTTTGCCATTGAGGATAGGAACGAAGAGATTGCAGAGAAACAATCATCAGGCATTGAAGCAGGTTTCAATATTCTTTTATGGTAAGCTTTTAATTTCGGGTTCTTTCCGGTCGATTTTTCTATGCATTACCGTCCATTCTGAAAGACATAGTCACATGGTAGCATTAATTCATTTGTTCATACTGGACCACTCACACTTACCTTGTAGTCATCACTCCTCGTCACGAAATCGTCTCCACCTCTCTTTACTTGCCCTTGACTGTTGTAATTTTTTTTTTTGAACCCTGCCGGGGGAAGGAGAATGCACTTACCGGAGAAGGAGAATGCACTTACAGGAGGAGAAGGGAGAATGCACCGTGGTTATGCCACTAGGCCTTAAACGCTAGTGCGCCCTTGACTGTTGTAATTTTGTTTTATCAGGCCTTTGAAGAATTAATGCTGCTTATTGGACCAATACCCAAGGAAATTTAATTTTTATACTCTATAATAACACATAAATAACTTTAAGTTGACTTATGAGCAGATAAATGGGTTGGTTAAAAACATTTTTAATTTAATTAGAGGTATTAGTTTGAAACTTTGATAATTCAGTTTTATTAAAAATCGTGAAGAAAAGTTTTGTTGGCCATTGAGTTCTACCTGATTTGAATCCGAATTAATCAATGATCCAATAAATTTTTGGATACTAGATGATCCATAAAAAAAAAAAAGACTTTAAGTCGAAGTTAAATTAATTTTTATCTTATAAATTAAGGTTTTTTTAATATGTATCCATAAAATATAAATTAAAAGTGTAATAAATATATTTTTTATAATTAATTTATATGAAAAATTATAAAAATTGACATATATTTTAATATAATTAATATGTGGATGTTTTTAATTAATTAATTAATTAAATTAAAATCAAAATTTATATTTTTAATAAAAATTAATTATAAAAAAATATATTTATTATATTATTATTCTTTGTCTTAAGGGTGTAGAATAAAAAAATCCTAAAATTAATCACTTAAGCCCCGGCACTAATTAATATGAGTTTTCGATTTTATGATCCGAGGAGGAGAAACCGCTAAGATTTAAGATTTAAGATTTAATGGTTAGTCACAGTTTATGCAATGGCAATCTGAATCTAATGTGAATTTTGGCACCAAAAAAAAGAATCTAATGGAAATGGGTCGCTTCCTTGAACAAGGGTACTTTTGTAATTCAACGTTCGCCCAAGTTTCCAATCCTCCATGCTTCTCAGTTCCGTCGTCCCACTTCAATCCTCCTCAATTCTGAAAACCCTAACGAGGGAAAGAAGAAGATAGAAAGAGAAAACTTCAAAAACTCTCGATTACCTGTAACCGTGACAAATTGCTAGTTTTCATCAATGACTTCAGCAAAGAAATACTACAAGGAGAAAATTGCCCGTCGAAAGTAAGTACTTATTATTCCCTCCTCTTTCGCTTCTATCCAAATACTTCATCCCAGGTTTGAATTCCTCATAGAAGTAATAAATTAAGCTTGAGATAATATTTGTTTTCGGAATGCTATGTTATTAAGCATAATTTAATGCGTGGTAATGCCCAAGGAAGAAAAATTTTGGAAGAATTGTTCGGGGGCAGATTTTTTTTTTTTTTTTTTGAGCTATGAAAATGGTGGGATGGTTTTTGAGATGGGAATGAATTGTGCAGAGAGGAGAAAGCGGAAGAACCCGAGCAACCGAAGTACAGGGACCGAGCTAAGGAGCGAAGAGAAGATCAAAATCCGGATTATGAACCCACTGAATTGGGTTCTTTTCATGCTGTGGCTCCTCCTGGGACCGTTGATCTAAGGTGCATATATCTCAAATTCATGCTGTTTCCTCAAAAGGATTTTTCATTTTTTTAATTAGTCTTGTGTGAATATCTGTAGGTCAGCTGATGCACAGAAGTTATCCATTGAGAAGAGCAAGTACCTAGGAGGTTTGTATTGTTTTAATTAAGGTTTCGCTATTCTGATTTTTGTTCCTGCCAAGGAATATGTATTTTTTACATTGCTTTTGCATGGGATTTTATGATTTTATTTATAAGAATAAGGTACGATTGTTTCAATGAAATCTAATGTGTATTATGTTGGTATTGGTAGTGAAAATATTGCTAATGATTTGTTGCTTATTCTGTTTGCTGGATGTTTTATTAAATGAGTGCATATATGTTCAGGTGATGTGGAACACACGCATTTGGTCAAAGGGTTGGATTATGCCTTGCTTAACAAGGTGAGAAGTGAGATTGACAAGAAGCCAGATGCTGGGGAGGAAGCTGATGGAAAGTCAAGGTAGTTGATTTTTTTATTTTTTTTTTCCCTTTTTGTCACTTGTCTCTTAGCATCAGAAAGATTGATGTGCAAGACTAATGTTAAGCTACTTGTTTAACATTTTTTTTTTCTTATCGACAGAACATCAAAGGAAGATCAGCAATTGGTATTTCGTACAGCCACTGCAAAGGTGCATTAACTTCTTCTAAATGTTAAGTAACTTAAGTTGAGGACTCATTCTTCTAATTAGTGTAGAAAATGACTGTCTCTCTTCACAGTCTGTGTATCAATGGATAGTGAAGCCTCAAACTATCATGAAGACAAATGAGATGTTTCTACCAGGCCGAATGTCATTTATTTTTAACATGGTAAGAATTTTGGCTTTATATCTTTCATGAGCTGCTATGGCCAGTGCACAATGGACAGAGCAGGTGGCAGTCATATACATTTGACTGCAACTACTTTTTTTTCCCCCTTCTCTGATTTTCTTTTTTGTTCTGCTGATTGTGGGGCTACATAACTGCTGTTAACGCACCCCTCCATAAACCCCTCCCATTCATGATTATCTGATATCTACACAGTTTCAATTCCATTATCCCAATTTCCTCATTTAATTTCTATCTTTTGTGTGCTAGGAGGGTGGATACTCCAACGACATACCAACTACCTTACATCGGAGCAAAGCTGACTGTCCAGTTCCAGAGGTCTGTGTTTCTGAGTTTCAGGCAGTTTTAATTTTCATGCGAGGGCCTCTCTGAACTTTTTTCTCTTTATTATTATCATGCAGGAAATGGTTACTGTCAGTGTTGATGGTTCTGTACTGGATCGAATTGCTAAAATTATGACTTATCTTCGCCTTGGATCATCTGGAAAGGTTCTTAAGAAGAAAAAGAAGGAGAAAGATGCTAGAGGTAACTACTATATTGTTTATTGTTGTAAGCTGCTGTGCATTATTTTGATTATTTTGATACATCTGTCAGTCTAATGATACACACTTCAGTGCATGATGCAATATGATTACTTCTTAGAGGAAGCTATGTGATAAATATTATGTATGATTGTTGTGGGTCAGTGCACTCACTACTGGACATATGCCTTGTTAAGAGGGATGATTGCCATCCCTCGTATGTGAGACTTTGATGGGAATTCTCATGTTGGTGTGTGCCTTCAGATCATGGATGCATTTATTCAAAGCCCCGTGAATGTTGCTATTCTTGATTTTTGGAAGGGTGTAATCTGACATTTTCTACTGATTTTTGGAAGAGTTACATATTATTATTTTGGGATAATCATAGGGTGACTTAGTTTGGTTTTACATTGTAGGGAAGATTTCAACTCTTGGTAATGAATATGATGAAGAGGAGAAGCCATCTAAGCTTAATGGTGGAATTTCACATAATAGAACTGAAAAAGAAATTTTACCTCCACCTCCCAGGAAAAATAATCTTGATTCAAGAGAGAAGCAAGGTCCATCTGTTGCAAGAGCACAAGAGGATGACATATTTGTTGGTGATGGTACTGACTATGCTATACCTGGTAAAGACATAAGCCAAAGCCCTCTCTCTGAGGACATGGAAGAATCTCCTCGAAATAAAGAAAAAGTTTCATATTTCACTGAACCCACTTATGGTCCGGTTCCACCCAGTGGGGCTTCTCAAGAATGGCAAGTGGTAAGTTGATCCTCATAATAACTCATTTTTTCCTAGACTAACCAGAACATGACATGCAAATGGGTAGAAATTGAAGTTTCAATGCAGAAAACAAGTTTGTCCTAGAACTACCTTCTGTACATAAAATTTCCTTTTTCTGATTTATCATATGTTCCATACTCCAACTGACTGTTGATTTCAGAATGGATATGATGCCTTGCAAGCACAAGCAATGGCTGCTGGGTACCAAGGAGAGTGGCAGGAGTACCAGTATGCTGAGCAACTGGCTTACCCTGAGCAATACCTTCAGGCCAATATGCAGGCTTATGATGCACAAGCGGGGCTGAATGTTCCACAGGATCCTCGATTCATGACACAAGAGGAAAAGGATCGGGGTTTAGGATCTGTATTCAAGCGGGATGATCAAAGGCTTCAACAATTGAGAGAGAAGGATGCTCGTGAAAAAGATCCCAATTTCGTATCTGAGAGTTACTCTGAATGTTACCCTGGCTATCAGGAGTATAACCGGGAGATTGTTGACAGTGATGATGAAGATGACTTAACAAAAATGGATATGGGGGGCCGAGTAAGTAATTTCGTTTTTCCCTTTAAATTAGATATCATCCTCAATTTTTAATTTTGTTATGAACTAGAAGTATACGCAAGTATTGACAAGAACAGTTTTAAATGAGCTATATATTATGCTTGTTTTTTGCTTTCCTTGACCTGAACTGAAACCATATTTGTATAAATATCTAAAGAACATGGTTAAACGTTTTCTTGAAATCATTTCAAAAGGCAAAGGGACGTCTCCATCGGTGGGACTTTGAGACTGAAGAGGAATGGGCATCATACAATGAGCAGAAGGAAGCAATGCCAAAGGCCGCATTCCAGTTTGGCGTGAAGATGCAGGACGGGAGGAAGACAAGAAAGCAGAACAGGGACCAGAAGCTCAATAACGAGCTCCATCAGATTAACAAAATACTAGCTAGAAAGAAGATGGAAAAAGAAACTGGTGGCGAAGGTGGTGGTGGACACTATGACGACGATTTACAACCGGGCAAGAAGCTCAGAATATCGAGTTAAAAAGCTCAGTTATGGTTTTCTTGTTCTTTCTCTATAATTAGAAAAAATAATTTAAGAATTCCTGAGATCCTTTTTCAGTTTGTAATGCCAT